GAATTCTTCGCGCGTAAATCAGTCGATAGGTGACGACAAGCCCTAGGTGTGGTCGACGAAGGGGTTCGTCGACCTGCGGGGGACTGTTGTGGAGCCGTCGACGAAGGGGCTTTGACGGCAGCTGTCGACCGAGTGTCAGAACACATAGCTTGTGCTTATCGTGTAGGCTATAGTGGGGTAGCCCATAAGGGGTACAACCCAATTAGGGTTAGTACTTGTACTCAGTTCATTCATAGTTCATTCATTCTCGTTTTCTTCTCATGGTATCGAGCAGGTTCCCTCGTGGGAACTGTGCCCAGGGCCCACCAAGTCGAAAAAAAAAATTCCTGCCCGGAGCGCGCTCAGCCCGAGTCGCGCTCCCTTCCTTGACTGAGTCGCGCCGCCTTAGCGGCCCCTGATTTGTCGCCCTAGCGACCCCGTAGCCCTACCTATGGCCCGGCCCCGGCCCCGTCGCCCTACCTTCGACCCGACCCCGTCGCCCTATCTGCGCCCCGGCCCCGGCCCCTTCGCCCTACCTGCGCACCGGCCCCGTCGCCCTACCTTCGACCCGGCCCTGTCGCCCTACCTGCGCCCCGGCCCCGGCCCCGTCGCCCCAACTGCGCACCAGCCCCGTCGCCCTACCTTCGACCCGGCCCAGTCGTCCTACCTACGGCCCGGCCCCGGCCCCGTCGCCCTACCTACGACCTGGCCCCGGCCCCGTCGCCCTACCTACGGCCCGGCCCCGGCCCCGTCGCCCTACCTTCGACCCAGCCCCGTCGCCCTACCTGCGCCCCGGCCCCGGCCCCGTCGCCCTACCTGCGCACCGGCCTCGTCGCCCTACCTTCGACCCGGCCCCGTCGCCCTACCTACGGCCCCGCCCGAACGCCTACGCAGCCGAGCCGCCCGCGCCGCTAAGCCGCCCGAGCCGCCCGAGCCGCCCGAGCCGCCCGAGACACCCGAGCTGCCCGAGCCGCCCGAGCCGCCTGAGCAGCTGAGGAGCCGAGCCGCGGGTGCCGCCGAGCCGCAGTTGCTGCCGAGCCGCCCGAGCTGCCCGAACCGCCCAGTCTGGTGAGCGCGCAGCGCCTTTGTCACTGCACTGCCCCTGCTCTACAGTAAGCACTGCTAGTCTACTGCTGTCATGGCTACCCCCAGTGTTCTCACTTTTGACGCTAAGGGTCGGGCCCTTGACTTTGACGTCTGGGTAGATGACCTGCAGCTTTTCCTACAGTGCGATAGGGCAGACGGTCTCTCCCTCTTTGACCTCACCTCTGGTGCTTCCCCTGCCCCTGCTGCCGATGCGGACGCCACAGTTCGCTCACAGTGGGCCACTCGCGATGCTGCTGCACGTCTTGCTGTGCGTCGCCACCTGCCTACCACTGAGCGCGCGCACTTAAGTCAGTACAAGAGTGCTCAGACCTTGTACGACGATGTAGTTGCGCGCTACTCTTCCCCTGCCACTGCTGCACTGAGCCGCCTCATGCGACCGTACCTCTTCCCTGATCTTGCTCCCTTTCCCACAGTCGCTGACCTCATTACGCACCTCCGCACTAGTGACATCCGCTACCGCGCTGCGCTTCCTGCTGACTTCTGCGCCAAGAACCCCCCCCCCCCCCATGTACATCACTCTCTACTACATAGTCACTCACCTCCCTGACTCCCTTCGCGTAGTCAGGGACCACTTCCTCTCAGTCTGTCCCACCACCCTCACTGTTGACCTCCTCAAGAAGTCCCTCCTAGCAGCCGAGAAGAGCATAGTCGCTGTAGGGGCCTCTTGTGGTGACCCGCGCACCCCCATCTTTGAGGGGTGTTCACCCTCCCCCCTTTTGCCCTCCGTTGCCTCTACTGCTGCGGCCGACCTCCTTGGTCTTGAGTCGGTCGGAGCGGCGTCTGCCCATAGTGGGAGACGCCGCTCTAGCAAGTGCAAGAGGGGTAGAGGCACTGGAGGAGGGAGCGGGGGCGGTGGAGGTGGAGGTGGTTGCGGCAGGGGGAGTGGGGGTGGCGGTGGGTCTGGAGGCGGAGGCGGCGGCGGCGGTGGCGGTGGGAGCGGAGGTGGCGGAGGTGGAGGCGGTGGAGGAGGCGGCGGAGGCGGCGGCAGTAGCGGAGGCGGCGGAGGTGGCGGGGGTGGCGGTGGAGCTGGTCGCGGGTCTACGCAGAGGAGTGGCTCCGGTGGTGGTCCGCGCCAGCAGCAGCAGCGCACTCGTGACATCCCCCCCCCTCAGCAGCTCCGTGATTGGTACACTGCACGCCAGCGGGGTGGGTTGTTTGGTCCGTGCACCTACGTCCTGCGCACCTGCGACCGTGCGGGTGAGCAGTGTGGGGGTGCGCACCCCACCCAGCGCTGCTTTGGCCGCCTGACGGACGCGTGGCATCACCAGTTCCCGGAGGCCACAGAGATCCCTCGCTGGGGCGAGCTATCTAGGGTGGGAGTTGCCATCTATGATCTTGATTTTGATGCTATCCTTTCTGCCATGTATGCTGTGTCTATTAGTGATGAGGGTGATTGTTACCGGTGTTTCCCGCAAGATCCGGGCATTGAGACTGCTGCTCTAGGTACTGGTGAGGCTGCTGCCCTAGGTGCTTGCGACGCTGCTGCTCTAGGTGCTAGTGCTTCTGCGTCCTCAGGTACTGGTGAGTCTGCGCTCTCAGGTACTGCGTCGGCTTCAGCCTCCCTCACCTTCACCCTTGACTCTGGGGCTTCTCGCTCCTTCTTTCAGGACCGCACCACACTCACGCCGCTTAGTCGGCCGGTTGCGGTGTCTCTGGCTGACCCCTTTGGGGGTCCTGTCCTGTCTCACTTCTCCACTGTCCTCCCGTGTCCGGCGGCTCCCTCTGGCACCCTGTCTGGTCTCTACCTCCCCTCGTTCTCTACAAACCATGTGAGTGGTGCTGACCTACGGGATGGGGGAGTACACCAGTTCACTCCTGCGCGTTAGCGGGTGACGCACTGCACAGAGGCTAGCACAGGCCGACACCTGGCTACGTTTACCCGTCAGCCGGGGTCGAGCCTGTACACACTGACCACTGTGTCTCCTCCAGTTGCTGAGTCTGGTAGGGTAGCTGCGTCGGGTCAGGTGTTTGCTGCAGCGTCCAGGCCTGGTCCTGAGTCTGCCCCCTGTTCGTGTCGTCTCCTGTCTCACGAGACTCTCCTCTGGCACCACCGCCTTGGTCACCCCTCTCTGCTTCAGCTCAGAGGCATGGCCTCCCGTCTTCTTGTCTCTGGTCTCCCCCGGTCCCTCCCTCCCCTTCCTCAGGGCCCTGGCCCTACCTGTGTCCCCTGTGTCGAGGGGCACCAGCGGGCTGCCCCTCACTCCTCCCAGTTTCCTCCGACAGAGGCCCCATTGCAGACGCTTCACATGGACGTGTGGGGCCCAGCCCGCATCCGTGGACAGGGTCACGAGCGCTACTTCCTGCTGGTGGTTGACGACTACTCGCGTTACACCGCAGTCTTCCTCTTGCGCAGCAAGGGTGATGTCACTGAGGTGCTGATCGACTGGATCCGCCCAGCTCGTCTCCAGCTCAGGCAGAGCTTTGGCTCGGACTTTCCTGTTCTGCGTCTGCACTCGGACAGAGGCGGAGAGTTTTCTTCTGGCCTTCTGAGAGCCTACTGTCGCGCTTGAGGAATCCGTCAGACCTTCACGCTTCCGGACTCCCCGCAACAAAATGGGATTGCTGAGCGCCGCATTGGCATGGTCATGGACGTCGCTCGTACGTCTATGATGCATGCGGTTGCTCCACATTTTCTATGGTCGTTTGCAGTGAGGTACGCGGCGCATCAGCTCAACCTACACCCCAGGGTCTCCAGGCCGGAGACCTCCCCAGCCTTGCTGTGGATAGGGAAGGTTGGCGATGCGTCGGCGTTCCGGGTCTGGGGATCTCGGGCGTTTGTCCACGACTTGTCTGCGGACAAGCTGTCCCCTCGTGCTGCTCCTTGCGTCTTCCTGGGGGTCCCCCCTGACGCGCCAGGGTGGCAGTTCTACCACCCCACCTCTCGCTGTGTTCTGTCCTCCCAGGATGTCACGTTTGACGGGTCGGTCCCCTACTACCGCCTCTTCCCCTACCGCACGACGTCCCTCCCCCCGCCGCCGCTCTTCCTTGTACCAGGTCCCCCTCTGGTAGACCCCCTCCCCCCTCAGGGTCCGTCCCCTTCAGGTGTGTCCCAGGTAGACGCAGTCGAGCCTGTCGAGGTCACTGGTGACTCTGGTGCTGCTGAGCGTGCTGAGCCTGGGGGTGCTAACACTGGGGGTGCTGAGCCTGGGGGTGCTGAGCCTGGGGGTGCTGAGACTGGGGGTGCTGATCCTGGGGGTACTGAGCCTGGGGGTGCTGCACCTGGGGGTGCTGAGCCTGGGGGTGCTGAGCCTGGGGGTGCTGAGCTTGGAGGTGCTCCGCCTGGAGGTTCTCCGGGTGCTTTGTCTCTGCGGGAGCCACTCTCTCCACGAGAGCTGCGCGAGTGGTTTGCCCGGCGCTGGAGGCGTGCTGCTGGTGCTGGAGGTTCTTCGGCTTTTGAGGGTGCTGCTGTCGCAGGTCCCAGAGGTGCTCGTACTGGGAGTACTGGAGCTGCTGGGCCTGCGGGTTGGACTGGAGCTGGTGCTGCTGAGGGTGTTGGAGCTGAGACTACTGCTAGCGGTCCTGCTGCGGGTACTCCTGGTCCTGCTGGAGGTTTTGGTGCTGCTGGAGGTGCAGCTGGAGCGGGTGCTCCTGCTGGGGAAACTAGTGCTGTACCTGCTCTGTCTGGCGTCGCCGCGCGGCCTCGACCGTACTTCGTTCCACTCCTGCAGCAGGTCCTTGGTCTTCCGCCTTCTACGGGTCCTCCTCTTTCTTTAGAGTGTCCTCAGCTAGTCCCGTCACAGTTACAGTTGCAGCCTACCTCCCCTTTGCCTGCTCCTTCTCCCTACACTGGTCCTACTGGAGGTCTTACTGAGCGTCGTGAGCTTGCGTCTCGCCCTGCGTCGCCTGTCCGTGCTGCCCGTGCTAGTGGTCGTGGTTCGCGTCAGCGTCCTCCTCCTGTCCCTGGCACGCACAGGATGTCTCCGTGCTCTTACGCGGAGGCGATAGAGGGTCCCTACTCCTCTCAGTGGCAGGCAGCTATGGATGCAGAGATGGCTTCCTGGAAGTCCACAGGCACCTACGTTGACGCTGTCCCCCCTCCTGGGGCGAACATCGTCAGTGGCATGTGGATCTTCAGGGTGAAGCGGCCGCCGGGTTCTTCGCCTGTCTTCAAGGCGCGTTACGTGGCTCGTGGCTTCAATCAGCGGCAGGGAGTTGACTACTTTCAGACCTTCTCTCCCACCCCGAAGATGACCACTCTTCGGGTACTGCTGCACGTTGCTGCTCACCGTGACTACGAGCTGCACTCTCTTGACTTTAGCACAGCTTTCTTGCAGGGCAGCCTGCACGAGGAGATCTGGCTGCGCCGCCCACCTGGCTTCACTGGGTCTTTCCCTCCTTGTACCCAGTGGAGTCTCCGGCGTCCAGTCTACGGTCTCCGTCAGGCGCCACGTGCGTGGCACGACACACTGAGGACTACGCTTGCGGCTCTTGGGTTTGCTCCTTCTACAGCCGACCCGTCGCTGTTTCTGCGCACCGACACCTCTCTACCGCCGTTCTACATCCTCGTGTACGTCAACAACTTGGTCTTTGCCACAGCTGACAATGCTGGACTCGCCTACGTGAAGTGCGAGCTGCAGAAGAGACACACGTGCACAGACCTGGGTGAACTGCGCAGCTACCTTGGCTTGCAGATCACCCGGGACAGAGCACGCCGCACCATTACCCTGACTCAGTCACACATGGTGCAGCAGGTCCTTTAGCGCTTCGGCTTCACGTACTCCTCGCCTCAGGCCACTCCTCTGCCTACTCGCCACTCGCTCTCAGCTCTTCCTTCGGATGAGTCCGTAGAGTCGAGTGGCCCGTATCCAGAGCTTGTTGGCTGTCTCATGTATATAGCTTGTGCTTATTGTGTAGGCTATATTGGGGTAGCCCATAAAGGGTACAACCCAATTAGGGTTAGTACTTGTACTCAGTTCATTCATAGTTCATTCATTCTCGTTTTCTTCTCACCGAGCTGGTCGAAGGAGGGGACTGTTGACGAGGATGGTCCTCGACGGGAGTTATGGTCGACAAGGGAGCAGGCCCTAAGATTCGTTTTAGACAACACTTTCTTGTCAGTGTTGCTACAAAAAAAAAAAAAAACTTTCTGTCAGCCTCCTTCTGAAGAAAAACCCTGAAAAATCAGTGTAGGGTAACAAAAAAAAAAACTTTCCCATCAGGGTAGGTACAAAATTTTAGGTTTTTTTTTTAATAACTCCTCCATTACCGTTAGATATGTTATACTGTGACATGACAAGGGAGGGAAGGGAAGGGATGTTACAAAATTACATATTATGAATGAACCAAGTACAGCAAAGGCATTACTAACTAGAATGTAGATGCCTCCTACCTACCATACCACATCTCATCCTCGTCATAATCGCCACCATCTCCCTCAGCCTCTACATCTAGGTCTATAGGGTTGGCCTCATCTCCATCAGCCTCCTCCTCCTCCTTAGCTCTCCGCCTCCTATCCGCCTCCTGCCTAGCTATGTTGCTTGTGTTGATCGGCTTCCGCTTCTTGTAGTTGCGCCAGATCTCCACAATCTCATCCCCGTTTGGCTTGTAACGGAGCAACGACATGCACATCAAGTCCCTGAGCCGAGCATCTTTGAGGCTGCCTCCCTGCCAGGACTTGATGACATTCTGCCGCGAGAACCCGCGCTCGCATTCCACGGTGCTCGCAGAACCGACACCGCCACCCACAGCCGCACCAGGTTCGGGTAGTGCTCATGCCAGTCCTTGGTCTTGAGCATGGCGGCGAGGCCCGTGTGGAAACCGCGCTCGGTCTTTGGTGCACGAGCAAGTACGGGGATTAACAGCCGCACTTCCTTGAATGCTCTCTTCTTGTCGACCCTTGTCGTCACAAAAAACAAAAATAGTTAATAACACTGGAGTGATGTTAGAAAATTTGGCACCAATCTCTAGATTTAGCAATGCATCAAGCAACCCAAAGAATCGGCTCACCCGGTACGATTTCCTCGCACTCCTCCGCGCGGAAGAGAGTGATCAGCGACTCAAGTACTCTTGACACTTTGCCTGGCGCTCGTGCCTGCTAAGCGGCCAAGAGTCGGGGGTGAACAATTTGACGCCCGACAGCTTGTCAAGGTCGCCCAGACAATCCTCGAGGTTGGCCGCGATAATCTCTGCAAACTCGGTGCAGATGTCCAGGCATGCGTCGTGGTGCCCTGGTCCAGGGTAGTCCGGAAGCTTGTCTTCATGCAGGATGAATGTGAATGTGCTCGGCTGCCCATCTGAGTCAACGCCCTCAATGATGACCTCCCGGGTGCCTTCAAGACCATGCTTATCTAGCCATGGTGAGAGCCTTGGACTGAGACCGGTGCTGAACTCGTCCCCACAGTCAACGTAGCGAGCCTCGAGATGTCCCGTTGTACGCCGAATCTGCGCATGAACAGCTGCTAGATCGAGCTGGGGAGGAAGCAAAACAGAAGACAGAGAGGCGTGAGTTAGGTTGAACATTGCAAGTCATGACAAAAAAAAGATAACAAGCCTGTGTATAAAGATTAGACCATGGCAATTACTCGGCATGACAACAAAAACGCACCTCGCGTCACTGGAACGTCCTACTTGTCAAACTTATATGCTATAGTCTGTGTAGGCTGTAGTGGGGTAGACAATATGGGGTACAACACTTTTAGGTTTTCCTACTTGTACCCACCTGTTTCCTAGTGCATTCATTCCTCGTTATTCTCACATGGTATAGAGCAGGTACCCTAGTGGGACCGTTTCCTTTTAAGGGCCCACCATTAAAAAAAAAATTCCTAACGTGCCCGAAGCGCGCCTCGCGCTCTGACCTGCCCTACCCTTTCGCGGCCCCTTAATGGCCTGCCCTGCTCCTGAGGCCCGTCGCGGCCCCCCCCTTTGCGGCCCCTTCGAGGCCCCTTAGCGGCCTCCCTTCGCGGCCCCTTCGCAGCCCCTTCTCGGCCCCTTAGCGGCCCCTTCGCGGCCCCTTCGCGGCCCCTTCACGGCACCTTCGCGGCCCCTTCGCGGCCCCTTCACGGCCCCTTAGCGGCCCCTTCGCGGCCCCTTCGCGGCCCCTTCACGGCCCCTTCGCGGCCCCCTCCCGGCTCCCTTCGCGGCCCCTTCTCGGCCCCGCGCCGCTGTCCGTAGCGGCCCCGCCCTGACGCCAGTCGCGGCCTCGCCCCGTCGCCAGTCGCGGCCCCGCCCCGTCGCCAGTCGCGGCCCCGCCCCGTCGCCAGTCGCGGCCCCGCCCCGTTGCCCCTGCCTCATCGCGACGCCTCAACGGGACCCGCGCGTCACCCCCGCCTCGTCGCGACGCCCCTGCGGGACCCGCGAGGCGCGGCTCCTGCGCGTCGCGACGCCCCTGCGGGACCCGCGTGGCGCCACCCCTGCAGTAGCCGCCCCTGGAGCAGCCGCCCCTGCAGCAGCCGCCCCTGGAGCAGCCGCCCTTGCAGCAGCCACCCCTGGAGCAGCCGCCCCTAAAGCAGCCGCCCCTGGAGCAGCCACCACTGCAGCAGCCGCCCCTGGAGCAGCCACCCCTGTAGCAGCCGCCCCTAGAGCAGCCGCCCCTGCAGCAGCCACCCTTGGAGCAGCCGCCCCTACAGCAGCCGCCCCTGGAGCAGCCGCCCTTGAAGCAGCCACCCCTGGAGCAGCCACCACTGCAGCAGCCGCCCCTGGAGCAGCCACCCCTGTAGCAGCCGCCCCTGGAGCAGCCGCCCCTGCAGCAGCCGCCCTTGGAGCAGCCGCCCCTGCAGCTGCCGCGGAGCCCTCGCCCTACAGTGGTGGCGGCCTCGCCATTGCCGCCATCGTACGCCTGCCCTTCTCGCCACTGGTGAGCACTGCCCTGCCTGTATTGCTGTTACTGCTGCTCTTGCTGCTACTGCTCTTTCTACTGCTACTGCTGCTCCAGGCGTGCCCAAATGCAGCTCCAGTGCCGTCCGCGTGAGTCAATCGCCCCCCAACAGCTTCGTGAGTGGTACGCTAGTTGGGGTTGTAGGGGTGGCCTTCTGGGAGCCTTCTGTCGTGCACAGGGCATGTCAACGGGAGTTGGGTATTGGCCCCGTCCTCGCTTGGGCGGAGCCGACTTCGTGGTCCGGTGTGAGGGGAGCAGCCGGCCTTCAGCAGTGGGTGAGCTGGTCGACGAGGAGGTCGACCTGCACGGGGGACCACTGCACGGGCGCCGACTTCAGGGTGGCGCCGACTTCAGGGAGGTCGACTTGGGTGTCGACCTGCGGAGGACGTCAACTTGGTGATGTCAACTTGGGGAAGCCGACATCGGCAGTCGGCTAACGGACTGCTGGTCGACCTGTTAGTGGTCGACTGGACCTGGTGGTCGACGAAGGAGGGGCCGACGTCGACCTCGACTCAGGACGCCGAGCAGTTGGGCGTCGAGTAGCGGGGCGTCAACTTCGTGACGCCAGCTTCGGGTGGCCGATGTGGGTGGTCGGCCGACGACTGTGCTGGTCGACGAGGAGCAGGTCGACCAGGAGTGCTGGTCGACGTGGAGCTGGTCGACCAGAGGGGATGTCGACCTGGAGGAGGTCGACCGATGGTGTCGTCGACCTGGTGAGGTCGACGTGGAGGTGGTCGTCGACTTGGGAGGTCGACGGGCACATACGGGAGCTGCTGGTCGACGTGGTTGCCTGGTCGACCAGGTTACCTGGGTGACGAAGTGCTGCGGAGGAGTGCGACGGTCGCCCATGCGAAGTTAGCGAGCCCGACCTCGGTGGTGGTATCCCGAGGTCGTCGTGGCGGAGCAGAGGCAGTCGTCAGCTCGAGGTTGACGTGGTGTGTGCGCTGTGCAGGTGACAAGACTCTGCGCGCCAATCATCTGACACAACTGCAAAGCAGGGTGCACTGCTGTCCTGCGTGAGCAACGCTGTCACGCCGTCAACCTGCGACGTTGGCACGCCGTCGACCTTGCCTTGCTGGAGCGCGGTCAACGAAGTCGTGCTGGAACGCGGTCGACCAAGCTGCGCTAGCAGTTGGCCGACCTGAATGCTTGCTCTGATGTAGTCTTGCATTGCCAACTTCATTGTACCATTGTTGACAACTTTCTCTAGTGAAACTCTTGCCAAATTGCCCCGTGAACTAGCAAGCAGTGTGAGCACTAGGAAAACGTCTAAGGACCAACAAACGCAGACATCACACGATCACACGTGCCTAGCCAGTACTCTAAGCTCCCGTTGTAGTAGTTATCTCCGCTTGGTGCGGTGAGCGTGGACGGCACACGACTTACCTTTCAGTCAGGTCGACGTAGTTCAGTCTAGCCGACTTAGCACATACCGATCGTGTTCGTAGACCGGCAGCCGTGAAGTCACTAGCGTGCGCGTAGGCGACGCCGAGGTGATGGACACCCTGGAGGGACGGCTGGAGGATGCAAGGAGACGCCATGAGGCCCAGGAGTATGGGGCAATACCCTGGGCAGTCGTCGAGGCCGGACTCCGCTCCGTGTGGGCGGCGGAGCATCCCCCTTCTCGACCTGCCTCTCCTCGACCGGTGAACAACGACGGCGGCGTCGATGTGGGCGTCAACGCCGGTGGAGGTCAGGTCGGCAACAGTGTGGGAGGCACGTCAAGGCAACGAGGTGTGATACGCGCCAGTGAAGCCGGCGGCGTTCAGGCAAGAGGGATGCAGTCGTCGGCGGCTGCAGGCTCCTCACATGGTGACGGCGGTGGGCGTCGAAGTGGGCTGTCGCCGATGACGGCGTCCCAGGTGACGGCAGGTGGGATTGCACCGA